ACCTAAAAATATATATATATATTTTTATGTATATACAAAATGGCTGGGTTTAGATATATGTATACATATCAATATACATATATATGTGTGTGTATATATATACACACGTAATATATATAAGTTGTTCCTGCAATATGTATAAAAGGTTTCAAGAGCAATCTTAATTCTAGCAGGTGGATTTTTTCTCTTGTAATACTTGAAACATACATTCAATGACTGCATGAACTACTGAAGGTGAAATACCAGTCAAGGGGAGACCTCCCCTCAACATGTTATGGATGTGTGCAATAAAAGGAACATACCTCATTCAGTGAATCCTCCCAAGATGAAATACAATGACTGCCATTTGCCTGGATGTCTAAGATGATGTTAGGGATGCAGTTTCCTGGAACAATGAAGCTAGCGATCACTTGACATTGAATGAACAAGGAAAAAGGTAAGTGGGGATGTGAGTTGTTTAGGGATAATTCTGCCTTCTGTCCTGACAATTTCTGTTGTTTCTTAAGAAAAAAAAAATCATATAGGGGCTTGCTGGATGAACTATTTGTATTTCTATTAACTACATATTTGAAAAATGCTTATATATTTAGCATGTTTGTTCTCTGAGTCTTTTTGGAAAGACGTGCTTTTTCTTTCTGTGCAAAGACTGCAACAGCAATTGCGGTATCTGCTATCCTTTCTCAACCATTGCAGTTGTGCTGCTAGCAGGGAAGGGACGTAATGAAATTTAGAAAAGCTAATTCAAGATCTATTTTGGTACTGATGGCAAAAGCCTCTCCCCAGATTAGATGGTACTAGAAAAATAATAAGGCCTGAATGTGCCTTTTGGTAGAAACAGTCCCAAAGCTAGGGTGACGTTTCAGGTATAAAAGCATCAATGTTTTGGCATTGTTGTCATTCTAACTTGGACTAACACCTGCAGTTTTAGTAAACTGGGAAGAGGTTTTTATAGAGCAGCAAAAATAAGAATTTTATTCATGTGTTGTTACCTGCAGTCTGACCGTATCAGTAGCTGGACTAGACAGTGTGGGTTCACCTAGCCCTGCCCAACAGTCGCCATATGTTGAGGCCTAGGAAAGATGAAGCCGAACTTATATTCTCCTTTTTTTTTTTCCCCCTCATCTCAGAGGGTTTCCTGAGCCTCTTGTGGTTTGTTGCTGTTAGTCAAACCCATATGTGTTAAATATTATTTCAAGGCAGCTCTGCAATACAGAGGTGTCTGGTGCCTCTTACATCTCTGGAGAGTGCATTGTAGAAGCTAAGGTTTATCTATTTGTCAGTATGACTGCACATCTCATCTTTGCAGATAAGAGGAATTACTTCAGAGCTTTGAATACTGGATCGTATTGTACAAATGAATGCATTTAAGGAGGAGTCAATATTGATGATGTTTAATTACATGACTTAATACTCTGGTTTAGTTAACTCCATGTATCTTTAATACTCTTACCTTTCTTATTTGTTCTCCTGGCATGATCTAGTGCAGCCTTCCTAAGTTTCTGAACATATCGTAGAACTCCTGTTAGTGGTATCCGTTGATCATTTTCATATGCCGTGATAAAAACTGAAGGATAACACTGACATTAAAAAACAAAACCAGTTAAATACTTGACAACTGATTTTTTCATAAAGTGAGTACCAAATTTTTCTCTGTCTTACTGTACTACTTGTTAAGGTTTATCTAAAACTACATCTATTACATAATTACCTGCTCTTAAAAAAGCACTTTTATCACTCTAACTGCAAAAAAGTATTTTGGTCTGAAAAATTACTTCATATTAGGGGATCATTTACTTGCAAAAGGTAATGAAAAACATCCTCTCTCCACTGGTAAAGGTCTGATACATGCCTGCTTGCTAATGATTGCAAAAAAAAAAAAAGGGAGTAATAATCATGGAATGGTTCACCTTAGGACAGTAGCTGAAATTTACTTTTGCAATCTTTCTACACATAAGAAGTAGTTGTTTTTATACACTAAGATTTTACTTAATGAAGCTGTGCAACATAGCTAACACATTACTTCAAATAAAGAAAAATTTCCTCTGAGATAACAATGTCAAAGCTATAGCTGCTTTTCCATTTCATTGTTTGCCTCTGAAAAGGTATTTAATCAGTGGAAAATACCTCCTTCCTCCTGTGACAAAGTCTGCAAAAGCCAGTAGAACAACAGAACCGCCCCACAAAAGAAGGTATTTTTACATGTTAAGGTTTGTTATACAATAGAATAATCTATTACTTTCTGGCAGTCCTGTAACAAAAACAGTATTTGAAATCTATTGATTATTTAGGAGAAGGCATTTGGTTAATTTCAGCAGTCACTTATGACTCCAAATATTGCTAAGATTACTACTGAAATAGTTTATATTTGTACTTTTAATGATTCATTTTAACACAAAGCAGCAGCTAAGAATTCTGAAATACTGGGCTTTAAAGCCCTGAAAAAGTAAAACAGACTTTTTTTTTTTTAAATTCCAGTTATCTACTTTTGTTTTCTTATAAACTGCTACGCTTTACTGTAGGATTCCACACAGAAAGCATACTTTTACCTGCGACTTAATATTCTGGTATGGACAATAGCTTTTGATGTACTTCATATATTTTTCATCTGCTAATGGATTTCCCCATTCTTCCTGTTCTTCAATTGTCAGTGGCAGATGAGTTTTCATCATTATATTTAGAACATCTACAAAAGGAGCCTTAGAAGTTATTAAAAAAAAAAGTTAGCAAACAGGACACAGGACCTCAAATGCCTAGGTCAAGGTTTTCTCAAACAAATGAGAAAAGTGAACTCTGAATTGGAGTGTTTCCAATTCTGAAACTGGTAGAATGAAACAGAAAATACAGTTTAACATCATAAGCCATAACAGGTCTGCAGCACCTCACCTGTAAAACCATGGCTCTGATAAGTTCTGGATCAGAGTTGCACAGGGCTCCTGCAAGAACTCCTCCAGCACTGGCAGCTGCTAGTGCTGTGTATCTTGGCTGAGAAAATCCTAGTTCGTGCAACAGCACGATGCAAGCCTTAAGGTCATAGAGACCTTTGAGTTTATTATGCTGACATCCATCTTTGTGCCAGCTAAGGCCGAGCTCTCCTCCGCCCCTGAAATTTAAAACAATTCAAGTTGGAGTCTCTTTGGAAAACGTTACATGGCAAAGCCTCAGATAATGAAAGGACAGCAGCAGCCACAGAATTGCAAAATCATAATTTGCCTTTCCAATTAACACTTCTCTATTCTTGTCATTACCTTCCTTTATGGCTAAAATACACAACATGCAAACAAACAAACAAAATCTGTTCATGATTGGTGAAAATTGTGAGCTTGTGTCCTGCAACTCACAGGAAAAGCACCAATTTAGGAAATGACACTCATTGTAGGCAATACAAAACCAGACACTAACATTATCTTTTCACATAGAAAACTATTAAAATAACCAAAACATTTTCAATACTTATAGCACTAACACTAGCACTTACTAAAAACAGTAAAATAGTATTTCTCAGCTCCACACTGAGACTCTCAGGATTTGTCTTCTGCATAGCTTGAATTTTGACACTGTTAGAAAGTTTCTTTTTTCTAATTTGTTACTTTCAAGTACTACTTGAAATGTTAAATTTTGTAATACAGAACTTTTAAGTTTATTTATATTCCTTTCTATGCAATCACTGTTTTGGTTCTAAACCACCCGAAGTATCGTTATTCAGGTTTCAAGTTTAAAATGAATTAACTGATTAGTCTGCCAAAATTCTTCATCTTCGGATGAAGAATCCATCTTCATTTAGGACTGATTTGCATCTTAAGATACTAAAAGAGAGGTGGGAGGAAGAACAGCACAATGCTTGCCACTGAATATAGCAGACTGAATATATTTGTATGCTGAATTTGTTTTGGAACTGGTATTTCAAAGAATTGTTCATTCTCCCACTTCCTTCCCCTCCCTAAAGTGATTCTTTTGTTATCTTTACCTACTGAATTATTATTGCAATGAAAATGTGAAGCCTATTGCGCATAGTGGTTTTATAAAACTAGTAGATTTGTAGCTGAACTGGAGACAGAGGATTTAGCCAATAAAAGCACAAGGGATGCAGGTTAAATGCTTAGCTGTTGCTGTAGAAAGCAAATGGCTTTCAGAAGATGCAGACTGAACATTAGTATTAGCACACAATGCCCTTGGAAAGAGAGGGAGGTAGCAAATGCAATTTGAATGTTATCAAAATTTTTCTTGAGTGTAGACGAGACAAGAAGTAATAAGACTTTGAAAGATTGGTAGGTGAAACCATCCTGTTAAGTAACCTAAATGCAGTATGTAATCTTCAAAGTATGTTTTTTCCCTGAGGTAATTTTTTTTGTTAAAAACTACTTTAAAAAAAAAATCTAAAAAGAGATGGAAGTGAAAAGCATGAAGAATTAGGTATAGCTACATGAAAAAAATTTCTGTGCTTCTTGAGTTGCACATCAAGAAATATCGGTATATCCCACAGATTAAAAATCTTAATTCCATTTTATATTTGACTTACCTAACATGGCAATATGCTAATATCCAACCCTCTTCAATTAACATCAGCTTCTCTTCTTTAAAGCTCATGTTCAAATCTATGCCATAAGCTCCATATACATGAACTAGAAGTGGTTTCCTGTGTAGCTCTTTAGAATTCATATTATGAAAAACTGTAATTGGCACCAAAGTTTCATCCTGGAAATGAAGGAGTATTTTACAATAAAGGACATTTCAGAAATCTCAATGACACATGGCAATGAAAACTTCAATTATTTATTTTAAAATGTGTTTTTTGATTACAGTAATTTTTTTCACTTAGAATGTACAAAGCACTCTTGAAAAATAAAGCAAGAGACTGAACCTCTGCTGTGTAGGCTTATGGATGCAGAGTATAAAATTCATTTAAGTGCAACACCTGAGGAGTTTTTAAACTACCAAAGCACCCAAGTTTTTCTTCCCCCTTTAACACCAAGAATATCTATTATTAACAAAATAGTTTACCACTTACTGCAGCACAAACTCTTTATTAACATCTCCAATTTTTTTAAAGCTCAGGCTGTTAAAACTTTCCTTTCTTGATCTGTGCTGTGCAGCTGGTTGTGGGGTGTTCTTTTCAGCAGCTGGCATCTTTTTCATTTATCATGGAAAGTATGATACTGTACACCAACCAGCAATTCAAAGTCATACTATACTAAGATTCTGGACTCATCATGTACAGTTATCTCCTCCAGCATACCCAGGTTAATGGAAAAAAAAAAATCTTATCACGACTCTCTTGTTCTTCTCTATAGCACTGAAGAAAACACCCACTGTTTAGTAACTATAGCACCAACTGCTCTTTACGTTTTTTTTTTTTTAATCTCTGTTCCCTGCCAAATGCATTTTCTTTAAATGGGTGGGGAGGAAGGGAAGAATAAAGGGAATGGGAAAAGGACTAAAAATCTTACCTTGCTTTTAGCTAGTAAACGTGTAGTGTGACAATTCGTAATAATTGGTACCTCTTGCACAACTTGCTCAATGAGATTATTTTCTTTAAATGAATATGCAAAACGCTTAGGGGGGTGTACTGGGGAGGTGAGCTGAAAATAGCAAGTGCTGGTGGTATGTTCAGGATGAGATTCCAATTCAAATTCACAGGCCCATGTAGGTAGCTGAGAAAACACAGCATTTCAAGTGAGACTCTTACACTGTTTCTGTTAATTTTGCCTAGTGTGTCCTTCAGAGGAAAAGATTTTCAATATCAAGCTAATTATCTTCAGTTTGTGTGTAGCACAATCTGCATTTCTTTTAAATTCAGTAATGAAACAGTCAAAAAGTGAAAGACTTTAGCAAACTTTTCCCCTAAGGCCATTGGATAAAGTTCAACAATGAAATAAAACAGAAAAATAAATCCAAATTCAGTTTAAAATGGGCATTAGCGCAGATTTTTTTAAAAAATTAAAACATTCTTTGAAATGATTCTGCATTGTTTTTATTTTTTAGATCCTATTTCCCCTCTGATTTCCAGTCCTACTTCAACATATTATACAGCCAAGTCCATGTCAGTTGTTATGCTTTTGCTGTGAGTTAGCTCAGTAATGCTAAGCCATTGAAAACCCCTGCCTCTTAACTTTGTTCCTAGTGCCAGCCATTGTGAAGAACAAAACCTTTTTCTGGCACATTCACCCTTAGACACTTACTGCTATTATATTTAAGATTTTTGACTCTGCTAAGAATAAAAGAAATCAAGATTCATTCTTTGAGAGCAGCAGGGACATAGTCAAACCTTCTGCCAGGCCACTACTTAGGTTAGGTTGCTAGAGACTTCTGAAATGGCAGCAAAAGTCCAAGTTCTCCAGAGTAACTGCAGACCCTTTCTGAATAAATAAACTATGACCATTTTCAAAAAAGAAGGTTTCAGAGACCATACAGTGTACTTTGAAAACCTTTTTTCTGTAGCAGTTTTACAAAACACAGCATTGGTAGCTTGTCGCAATAAACTTGCAAGCAGTTGAGATTGTATATTTCAGGCAAACAAATCAATTAAATATTTCATCTGAATGGTCTCCAGAAATCATGGTTTTGAATTGGATCACTTTGGTTTTAATCCACAGGTATTTAGCAACAACCAGAGAAAAGAAGAAATACTTTGCACAAATTGTACTGCAATATCAACTCATCCCATTTATAATGGGACAGTGTCCATGTTAGAACATTCAGAAGACAAATGTTTCTTCTGTGGGAGAGCCAGGCTTATTTCCTTGCTTACACTGATGAGTGTAACCAAAAATAGGCCCAGTAAAAGGAAGTAGAGTGTTTAGGGAATCAAGTCCTATTTCACATTAGAAATCGACTGTATTGTAAAGAGGTTGACAGTAATAACTTGAAGAAAGAACTGACTCATAGGATAGCTGATCTGTAACTTTGTAAGTGCTACAATAAGCCACCACATGAAATCCTGAAGAACAGACACAGGTAATACAATTCGTCATAATGACAAACTTGGCAGTATTATAGTTTTCCTAAACCACTTCTACTCTTGGAATTTATCTTTGCTTTCATTATAATGTTTAAAAAAAATAATTAAATAGTGCTGGAAAAACACTATGTTGCTTAAGCCAAGCTAAACCATACCTTTACTGAATGAACGGAATGTGAAACAAAAGAAATCACATTTAAATAAAGACAACCAGCCTTCTTCAGGAACATAACAGAGTGATCACTGAACATCTCCAAGTCTACTAGCTTGGTTTTCTCTTCCAGTGCATAAACTAACTGCCAGTTCTCCAAGCCACTGGAAGCTACTGGTGCCTTCATCAACTATAAAAACAAAAAATAACTTTGCATTACTAAGATGTAGCAAGAGTTAACAATGAGATGTACAGACATATAGGTGATCTCATGCAACGTTTTTATTGCAAAAAAATTACTGGTTTGTATTGGGGGGTTTTGCCTGACTAAAACTGGTGGGTTTTAAACTCCCTTTGGCAAAATGGAAGAACAATTTAGTAACTTTTAGTAAAGTAAGTTCAATTTTCACAGATTAACCTATAGAAGATTTTCATGCAGTAAGTGCTTTCAGTGTGGCCAGCAGAACTGTAGGTGGCTTGGTTGTACAGACTGAGATCACCAACTGAAATTTTAACATAGGGGAAATGACTGTTAAAGCATACTCATTTCCTGATCTTGCTAAAGGAGTTAGAATCAAATTGGCATGCTACAGGTGAGGCTCCATGTACTGCTATCAGTCTTTCAATCCACACAGCTCTCTTAACTCTCTTGAATTCTCTCAGTAAGCTGTGAAGCACAGAACTGACAGCCAGACTTACTATTTCTATATGATCTGCAACAGATATCTGAATAAATCCTATGAATCTTAATATCGGTTAAAATTACCTTATATTCTGCAGGTTCTCCATATGTAGTAAGAATATATAACTCGTCATTTCTGTGCTCAATGTGGTAAATGACCCCTTTTGTTCGTGCTTGTACAAGAGCAGGTAACTTAAAAGGTTGTCTACAGTCAATCAGCCAAACTTCTGAGGTTGTCTTGCTGTTGCTGTTGATAGTGAGAAAACGCCTGTCTTTTGTACAATATATATCCACAAAGAATCTGTAAGGAATAATTAAAAAAAAAACAACTTAAACTTTATTAGTATTTTAAACATACATCGGTTGTTTCAGACTTACGGGCCTCCATCTGCAAGGTAAGAAACAGCATGCCTGTAAGTGGGCTGGAGAAATTCCAGACTACTTGGTTCCCAAACCCACTCCTGCTGCATTTATCCTGGGATTCAAAAATCCACAATCTTGTGTGTGCAACCTGAAATCTGCGAGGAAAGCAATTCATGTTGCCCAACTGAATCCAGGTTTTTTGCATCACTGAGGTAGTCTGGAACCTCATTCATGTATACAGGCTTTAAAATTCAGGCAAAGACATAGAACTTTTTATTGAGCTGATAACCAGCCCTATTAAAAAGAAAAAAGTAGTAACAAATAATTAATATAAAATTAATAAAGGACATCATGTGGGAATAGCAATAACAAAAGAAAAGTAGGAGCTATTATAAAGATAAATTGAGAAGAAGTCTAAGTGTTACTGACCCTAACTCTGGAGCAAGTAAGACAAAAAAGAATTCTTAAAGTACAGAGGCTTATATGAGACAAGATGGACAGTATTGCTGTGATAAAGCTGGAAACTAGGAACTGGTTTTGAAATTACCTACAGGCTTTAAATGCTTCTAATATCTAGAAAGAGCAAACAGATTGATAACCAGTGGCTGGATGCTAATATTAGACAAGTTCAGGCTGAAATTCAGATTCAAATTTCTGCAAGTCATCCTAATTAATTGGAATGTCACATCTTGGGACACAGCAGTTCCTTCACCATTTTGAATCTTTGAGACTAGATGTCTCTAAAAGCAAAACTATGTCCAACACAAAGATCCAGAAGATTTCATTAAGAAATTACAGGGTTGAGTACCGTAATCTGCATTATACAGATCAGATACATGGCTGCAATAATGATTCCTCTAGACTTCAAAATATTTGACTGGTGAAGGAAAGGGTGCTTTAAATAGCATTTTCAGTGCCTTTAATTATTTGCAGGTGGAACCTCAAATTTTTCTGGTACTATTGGGTTTTTTCCTGATTCCACCCTCTTGCCATCTTTAGGAGGACAGGCACAGCAGGGATCTAAAGTCTGTAAGGAATCAACCTCCTGCCTCTCTAATACACATGAATTTGGCAGGAGCGCAGCACTGCATTCAGTTGAGATTCCAGAAGTTCAGCTCTGTTGACCTTACCTCTAAGAGAGTCAAGCTGAAATGCAGGTTACACTTCTCCCCTAGGACTCTGACTTTGATATTACAATGGTTTTTTTTTGTCTTTGTAGCTTTTTTTTTAAAGGAAGTAAAGAAGTTTTCAGCTTCTAAAAAAAAATAGTAATATTTGATTGTACCTAAAAGAGGTGGTGAAATGTAGAATGGAACTGCTGAATGGCAATGCCAAAGCATGTCTAGCCATCTCTGATGAACAAGGGAGTTCTGTTACAAGCTGCAATAGCACATGAACCTTTAGAGTAAGTTTCGAGTAGATTTACTGTAATGACTATGACCTTCAGAATTATGCCAACAGTTTCCCTGTGGGGAAGTGTCAGGTCAGTGCAACTTGATTTTTCTAAAAGTATGCATTAAATGCAGCTAGAACAGAAGGATCTTATTTACTCCAGCTCAACTGCAGATATTTTTTCCTGGGTGGTTTGTTGGTTTTTTTTTTAGATGAAAGTATAATTGAAATTTCTTTACTGAATATGTAACTTGAATTAAGAATAATCACAAACATTTATGGAATGTTGTATAAATCTACCATGTGCTACGTGGCTGAAAAACTAGCTCTGCACTCAATTTAGCAAGCGCCTTCTTGTCTTCATGTGATTCTGTGATTCCTAAACCACTGCTTAAAGAAAGGTTATTGAGAGGGTATTCAGTCAACAATAGTTCTATCTCTGGGAATGCTTTAATGATTTTGCTCATCCATTACCCAGAGCAAGGATTAGCCTGAACTTCTATGTTTTTTTAAAAGATGTATCAGACATCAATAGCAGAGAAAACAAAATGAAATCCACAGTCTGATTTACCCCGTATGAAACTGTCACGCATTCATTAAAGGACACCCTGACCTGAGACTGACCTTGACATTTATAAACTCAGCTGAACTCGTGAGGTAAGAGAGGAAAGTTAAATCTCTGTTGATCACCTATCAAGAGGAGAACAGAGCACATTCTCAGACTGTATAAGGCACTACTGACAGCAGAACACAACTTAAAAATGCCTTTTACCATTTGGGGTATGATGCGGAAGAATTTGTTTTCCAAACCAGTTATGTTTTACATATAAAATTCTCTAGAATATGTAAAGGACTTGCTATATTTTAGGTAAGTATTACCTTGCATCTTGTTCTGTATAAACTAACTTTGTATGTTTCTGATTAGTGAAAGTGGTCATAAACACATTCTGGCATTTAAGGTTCTTCTGACTTGTATAATACAGAACATCATTTGTAGCCCATTCTGGAAAAAAGACAAAGGCATATCAAAGTTGGAACTGTACATACTATTACTGAGAGAAAACAGAGCTCCATGAACACTGGACCCAATGCTGAAAAAGGTGGGTTGCAGCTGACACGGAACTGAGGACAGGACTTCTACATCCAAGAGGCTGAGGTAAGCCACAAAAAGAATTTTCAATGTTTTCTCTGAATCCCACAGAACAAGAAACTTGTAATGCATTAAAAAAAAAGGCAGAGGACAATATTCCAAGGCCCAGTAAGAGGAAGCTCTTGACCCTGTGGGTTCTGGACGTAACAGGAAATTAGAAGATATGTGGCTATTTAAAACTGATCAGAGAAACAGAGGTTTACATGGAGTCAGCAAGATAATAAAGGGAGTAGCACTGCATGTGACTGCATGCAAACCATTTAGAGAAAAAGAGATGATGCATGTACCCCATGGGTACTGCTGAGATAAAAATTCTCCAGTTTTCTATGCTTCTGTATGTGCTCATCAACATTAGAAATGTATAAATATGGGAACCTTGCTATTCTGAAGTTTAGTAATCTAGTGGATCCAGGCAAATTACTGACATCTCTGTTGCTCCTACAGCCACCACAATGATGTTTAACAGATGTGCTTTAAAAAGTTATTGTATGCTGTCTTATGCATAAATACTAATTTTCAGTACAAAACCCAAGGAAGTACCACACTGAAGTAATGCAAACAATTTGCTATCTATCTGAACAGCAATGTGGCTCCAAAGCATGCAGGTAGCTGAGGGCTCACTATGAACACAAGCCTTTAGAAGGGAAATCCAAGCCTAGCATTTAAAAAACCCACAGATGTAAATTTTCAAGAACTTTTCATTTGTTGCATGCTATTGTGTATCATGCAATAGAAGCACATACTTTGCAAGTGGTTGTAAGACCTAATTCTCTTGGTCATGACTGAGGTACCTCTGTACTTCATGATACCTCTGTACTTCATGATACCTCTGTACCTCGCTTACACCTGAGTAAGTTTACAAAATGGGAGTAAGCTCTACCATTCTGACAGTCATTTTTTTGTACTCTTATCTGCCTGTGTAGGCAACAGGGAGTTGGTTTCTTAAATGTACTGATTCTTCCAGACAAACTTAGAAACATGTTCGAATCAAGTACAGTGAAAAAATGTCACTGGCAAATTTTCAGGCCTGGCTTTCAACAGGCATTACAAACTTCAGTTGCGCAATCACAACATTAAATTCTTGCTATCTTTCATTTTTGTAACAAGAAAGTTTTACCTAGAGTTTTAAATTCGTGCCCTACCCAGGCAAATTGCTTACTGTACCACATATACTTGATGACATCTAACAGTATAATCCAAAATACAAGATATAGAACTTGGATACACACTATTGCTTTCTTTTTGCTATATTCTTGAACATACTGTAAAAAAAAAAAAACCCAAAAGATTTCCCATTCACTTCAGTTTACCTCTGCTTATTTTAACAGCAAGGTAAAGCTCTATAATCTATTCTGAAAGAACTGACTCACGGCCTGACTTCTTTGGGCTCTGAATTGTGACCCACATACTAGAGTCCAGTTGAAATTCCAGCCAATACTTAATAGCAAGTAGCACTTGCACACTCTTCAGCGAAGCTAAGTGACTTGTAGCTCTAAGGATTTAATAACTAGATAATGTCTCAAAAAGATCTTTATTTTGCAACAGTTATGTCAGTAAATTTTTAAAGTGCATTGAATTAAATAAAAAGAATGATATGCATGACTGTTCAAAAATGTATAAATGCTTGCTTTTACAATGAAGGAAAACTTGTATCACAAAAGCAGTCACTTTCATCCACAGCAGATAACCTGTAATCGTGTAGTGTGGAAGAAATCTTATACAAGGTGGAAGAAATCTTATATAAGAAACAATTCAACAGCTGTAAGGATTAAAGCTAAAATGTTTCTACCTTTTTTTAAAATTTAAATATTTTAATATTATTTGTAGACTAACAAAAATGTTGTGCTGAAAGCTGGTGTGATCCACAGGATATTTATAAACAACTTACCAAAACTAAATACATTTGGAATTACTTTTTCCATTATGGGAAAATGACCAAGTTTCATAATAACACAGGTTGCCTCTTCAGAATTTTCACTTTTTACGCTGATAGCCATGTATCTCTGATCTGGTGAAATTCTGATCCGTTGAATAAAAGCATCAGAAAAACCAAGATCTTCAGTACTGAATAAAATGTCAACATTTCCTTCATCTACTATATATAAAAAAAAAAAAAGGAGATAGCAAAAATATCCTGTAATTAAGGTACTGTCAAAATGAGCAGTGGTTGTTAATGCCTATATTTAACAAGCCTGCCTGTAATGTTCACAAACGTACTACTGGAATTTATTAACACCAAATATTTGTCTTGCAAGGTATTTGCAAATGCACGTTGTAAAAATAAACAAAAAAATTACAGTTCCAGGGGACAAAAAAGTCTTGTAGTTGTTGTTAAAAATATTTTACAAGTATAGATCTTGGCTTCTAATAAATGTATTAAAATTTAAAGTTCAGATATTTAAAGCACAGTTGTTTTTACTAGATACAATTAGTAATTTTTTCCCCACCCCCTCAGAAATAAAAAAGCCATGAATGTGCTTATCCTTTTTTTGCAATGTTAAGTTAGGGCTCTGAAAAGCAGCGACTTCTCTCTTTCCTCTTCAGAAACTTGCTTTAGTATCAATATATACTATTCCCTAACTCTCTTCACTTTTTCAGATTTGGGATTCTAAAATTAATCAATCATGAAAGAATTTTGTAAATTTTATATCTTTAGTTTAGTTATTTTAAGAAAGAGAGCAATTAAGCTTTAATATAAGTGAAGTACACTAAGTGATACATGTACAACACTTTTAACAATCGTCCCGTGTTATGAAGAGAAATCCCTTACCATCATCTGCTTTTGAAAGAAATATACAGCCATTCTCTTCAAAGTACACGTTCTCTCCAAACTTGATCTGTTCAACACAAAACAAACATGTTTCAAGTCCACCATATAGTTAGACTATTTCCTTAGGATCCCTATATTCAATCATTGTTCTGTAGAACAGAATTGTAGCATACACAAATGACAGAATATAGCACATACATCTGATACTGAAGAAGGAATTGCAGACATCAGAAAGGTTCTTTCAAAGTTAGGGTACTTAAGCTTCCTATACCTCCTCTAAATTGAACAAAAGGCTCAGATCACCTGCAGCTGCTCTTGTAACTTACATCATCTTGTATCCTTTATCAAAAAGTCAGATGATTATTGTATCTTTACTTGCTTTTGCCTATGGTGAAATTAAGGTAAATACACTATCATAACACATGCAACCTGTTCTAAACACATGCTGTTACTATCCACAATTACTAAAATATTCAAAACTACCGCCATAAAATGATCTGTAAACCAGCATTTTATAGCAGGCATGGCTTCACTGCCTTTTGTTTGTACTCAGTGATGAGAAATGTTTGTATTTTTTGCCACTTACCCTTGGGCTTCCTGAATTGAAGGTATATCTGTTGTGCAATTCTTCTAATTTTGCTTTGATTCTTTTTGTCATAGCTTCGTATCTTGCTGAAATGTCATTCCAGTTTTCCTGCTCTGATTTCACAAGATTCTTGTACAAAAGCTCTGATGTTATTATGGATGTATTTTGCTTCCTTTTGGAAGGGATTTTTGTTCCTTCCTGCTAAGTAAGGAAAGAATAACAGCTACAACCCAGAACTCTCTATTCCAACATGAATCTGTTGAGGCAATGATGGTATTTCCCCAGCTTCAGAACTAAAACCAACTTTGCATTATTACGATAGTATATGCCATTAAAAAGAAAAAACACAGTTGGAATCAATTTTTCTTTTCAATTCTTCCTGATCTTTTAGGGAGGCATTGACAAATGTGCTTTACTTGACACATTTATTGAGGTTGTCTCTTCAAAATTGAATGTACTATTAATGTATGTTTTTAATTGATTATATATAAATGTTTGTTCTTGTTCTAGAACTAGGTTTTAGTTAATTTTTACGGAATTCTTTCAGTTTTCCTTCTTCAGAGGTGTTTTCTTGTAATTTTCCTGTCTTAAGAGTGTAATTTCTCATTGCCTTTTCTGGACAACAATGTTGCCCACACCTCTGTCCCTGTACCTAGGAGTCCCATCAGCTTGTTCAGGTTCTTGCTCCACTTGCTCAAAAGCGTTGGTATAAATGTTCATATGGCACAGAATGAAGTGAAGCAGTGAGCTGATACGGGTTCTGCAACAATTTTATCAGGAATAAGCTTCTGGTTTTCCATGATCCATGAACAGACTACTGCTACCTCAGTGCCAACAAAGCTGTCTTCTCTTGTAAAAATATTTAAAAAGTGTTAAAATTGCTAGCACAATGCTACTTATTTTTGCTTGCTGTAAAGTCTCGTTTGGTCAAATAATAAGCTTAACATATATCACAGTATATAACACTGCGCAGATCACACAAAGTACCATTTCATAACATTCAATGTGTTATGTGAATGTGTCTAAACTTTAAAAGCATCACATACTTTTTACCCCATCCTCACTGTGCATCAAGAACTGTTGGTTTGTTCCTGGTTTGTCTTCACAAATGTGTGAAATCTAAAATGTGAATGTTACAAGTAGACTTTGAAAGGAGGCAAAACTATCTGTTCCAGTTGCCAAACTCCCTATGAATGTAAACTACATCATTCATGAGAGCATATGAGTGGTCATTACTGGTTCAGACCAATGGTCCCTCTAGTCTAGTATTTCAAATCAGAAGCACAAGTCAAAGTAACCATGAAAGCCCTTAGAGAAGCTCTGGAGCAACTGCATAATTGGTCAAGGTAAAGAAACTGCAGGACATGTTAGTTGTAATACCCTCTCCCCAGTCACTGGAAAATTCCTGCAAGAAAACACCATTCCCCAAACCAGAAGCAATCAAACAAAAACCCCACAGTGGCCACAAATGGATACTTACAGAAGCATAAGAATGGGACAAGCACAGATCATATTCCCCAACAGGTATTCCCCCAGACTTCAACAATTTTAGCTCAGCAATTTCCTGAGCTGGACGTGGTTTCTGGATATTTAAAAAGTCTGTTTCATGTACATGCATCACCTCTCCTTATACTTACATAAAATTTTAGCATCCACAACTTATTTTGGCAAGTTCCACACTTTATGAATCTTTTAATGACTCCCCTCCTTCTATTTTCAACAGTTCCCACTGTATTTATTTGGAAATATTATATAAAGCTGGTGGCCACAGTGTAGGTATATATTAGAGTTACTGTACACCTCCCTGCCTGGGGAAAAAACAGTTATCTAGAAGAGCATCTAGGAAGATTTTGAGGATAGCAGAGGATCTCTGTGACAATCAGTTTGCAAACATTTGCTCCAAAGCAAAGAAGCACAGCCTCCTTTCAGGTGAAACCCACCTATTTGTATCCTGGAACCAGTGTCACAGATCAGCATTTGTAACTGTTGTAACCATTAGTGAACTGCCAATGAATAAACAGAACCACACGTTCTTATCCATCAAGATTTCATACATTCTCCTTGAAACATTTGTTTGTATTTCAGATGCAGACTTAGGAACTGCTTGCGTTATGGTTAGAAATAAGAGGGTTACAACAAGATGATATTTGGGTCACCTTTGAAGAAACACTTCAACTTGAAACAATTTTAGAACAACCACACATGCATCTGAAAATATGTTTAAGATAAACCAAAGCACCAATTGGCTTATAGGCTGTCATACTGCAGTTAAGCTTTTACAATGCCTTTAGCAAATGCTGTATTAGAAAAAACAGAAAGACCTGAAATTATTTCAGACCATTTTCTGACTCTGTGCATCATAAATTGCCACTCATTTACACAATATTTACTTACAGAAAGAAATCCAAGTACCTTTTAAAGTACAGTTTATCACATGTGAATACAATTATGAGAAGTCAATAGAATATTTTAGTATTAATATGGTGCAAACCATGACTTACTAGTGAGCACAGAAAAGGTCAAATTTTGTTGAGCCAGCTCACAGTGGTTAGGCCTGGCAGCATGAGTTTGGCCACTTTGCCTCTATGCTAGCTGATCCCCCCCTGCAGTTTTCTCCTGACACTTTAACCAAATCTTTTAGGAAGATACCAATTTTTAAAAAGTTGCTACAGCAGGAAAATCAACCAAAATGCAGCTTTATCTCAAAACAGGACAGGAAAGTTGAACAACAGTATATGTCTTTGAACACAAGTGAAATCCTCGTATTTATCCCCCGGCTTCAAACTCTTTAGGAAAAATGTGTTTCCTTGACATTTGAAAAATATGGCTGGCTTCCTTAACAGATATGCCAAGGTGGTTGTTGACATTAAGCCTATACTTAAACAGCGTACCTTGCAGGAAAAGAATCTCCATGGCAGGATGCTTCCAGGTGGTGCAGTCCTGCATGTATATGTACTTCCTGAACAGTCCAGGATGTAGCATTTTTTTGGTTTTATTTTACTAGAAAGACGTATTGTCTGAAGATGGTTGTGCTTAGAGTAGTATTTGACACTGAAGCTCAGCCCTTGGAGCAGATTTTTCAGTCCAACACATGACGTCCTAGCCTTCATTTCTTGATAGGTGACCTGAAATTTCTGAAAATCCCAAACTGATCATTTACACTGCGTATGTGAAATATACGTAACATAAACTGAAGGTAAAACGTCTCTTTCAAAGAAATTAAAATTATTTGCAGGTGAGAAGGCATGGTAAAACTTAAGCTGTTTCTTAACAACTGGTACACACAGCTAGGCCTGCATATTAACCTGCTATGTTACTCAAAAATGTGGTTCCTGCTGGTTGAGTTTACCTCTAGTGAAACTACTACTGAACAGAAAAGGTGCAACTGTGCACGTTTAAATGCTGAAGAATCAAAAACCGGGAAGGTTTTGGTGAGTTTTCCCCCCTTTTGTAAGTAAGTATAACAATAAAATCACATCATCTCAAGAGCTGAACTCCCCTCGCAGGAAAACTTGACAGGTTTGCAGCCCTGCGGGGGGAAAGGCCCTCCGTGTTTCACCGCTCGCCGTCCCGTTCCCCCGTCCGGCCCGGCCCCAACTCGGTCCCGCTCCCCACCAGCCCTGCCCCTCACCGC